ATATTTTTCTCTCTCAAGCCAGATTATACCCCACCTGCTACTGGCCAGTCTGCCAACATTTGTGGCCTGAGGAAGAAGGGAAAGAAGAATGACGTGGCTCAAGCACACATTGTCAGAGGTCAGAGCCTGCAGTGGCCACACCAAGCTTTGGGAGTAGAGAAGAGAGTGGATCCCCGAGTGTGGTCCATGAGGCTGCTACAGAAGGATCCAGCTGGTTCTGGAAAGAGAATGGATCGTAGCCAGGGGCTTGTTAACAACAAGACTGATAGTAATGATACAGACATGTGTTTTTATTTTATTTTATCTTATTCCAGTCACAGAATGCTTTCATGTTGTTTAGGCCAAATGTTGTTCTGATGCTTCTAGTCTTTGCCAAACTGAGGACCAGACCATTTGCTTGTTCTAAGTGAGCAGCTACAGATGGCAAACAAATTTGAACATTATTCTTTATCAGTGAAAAGTTAAAACCAAATTCCCTGCATTTGTGGCAAGTCTCCTTTGTTCCGTAAACACAAAGATTTGTTTACGCTTCCTTTGTTCTCTCTGGACATATACCGCTTGGGCCAGCTACTACACTGATTTCAAGATGCCCTGTAATCCTCCTTTGTATTTTTAGGTAGATTTTTTTATAGAACTTCATGGACAAATTAACCACTCTTCCCTATTTGTTATTAGTTATGTGATCTCAGGCAGGTGACTTCACCCCTCAGGTGTCCTTTGCTGTAAATCTGCCAGACTTGGCCAGGCACCAATCAGTTGGATGAAGGATCACCCCCCTACTTTTATGAATAAGATATTTGTAAGAAAAAGAAAAGAAAAATATAGCTAATACCAGAAACTCACATGCTGCTTGCGGCCAGACCCTTGTCAAAGCACTTGCTATGTATTAATTCATGTAATCCTTGAAATAGCCCTATTAGGAAGATACTAGTACACTAACTTCACAGATGACAAAACTGAGACACAGAGAGGTTAAGTAATTTGCCCAGGGTCACACAGCCGATAAGTGGCAGAACCAGACATGAATTCAGGCATTCTGGCTCCAGAGTCTATGAAGGTTGATTTTGTGCCTTAGATCAGCCCTCACTAATTTGTTTTCAATAAATTTAAGTACACCTTCACAGGGTACTTGAAAGACTATCTTCCTTTATGGAACTCTCTGGTTCTTGCCTAGTTTATGTTTTTAGAAGAAAAACCTTAAAACTCTGTGTGCCTGTGCTTCTGGTATCATGTAAAGTAATTGCAGTTTAGAGCCAAAGACATAGTTTAAAGTGGCAGTTCACCTTTTTATATGATATGTGGGCTTGGCCATAAAGCTTGCTGGGCTTTGGCTGCAACCACTTGTCTGGGAAAATGAAAGAGAAGTTTTTGACTAAAACTCAGCAGGTAATGTTAACCCTTGAGGCATGCACCCAGCAGCTATTACCCTGGCCTCTGGGGAGTGTGGCTTGGTGTTGGGTAGCTTCAATATTGAAAGAAGGTAGAAATCTGGGAGGGGAGAGCCAGGCTGTGGAGGTACCTAGGTGATGACACCTCTCGTCACTCTGGAGACCCCTCCAGCTAAAGGCTGGACCCACCCTATTAAAGGACAGAAAACAGGCCCTCAGGGAGAAGGGCTTGCCAGGGAATAGGCAGGGGAAACTGATACCAGGTCAGGTGAGTTACCTGGCCTCTGGAGGGAAACCAGAACAATGGCTGAAGCTTAGACCCATTAACTAGACAATCCTGGCAGGACTTAAGGGCACGTGGGTGTGTATGTGTGTCCCCAGCTTGCTCTATTTTAGGCCCGAAGTTTGAATTCTGTCCCCACCCCCCAGTGAGGCTCAAGCTGCCAAAGCTGTCTGGTGGAATGGAAGTCAGAGAGGTCTGGATTAGACCTCAGTTCAGCCATGTGACCTTGAGCAAGTCACTTAACCTCTCTGGCCCTAGGTCTCCTCATTGTAAAGCAATGATAACAACTCCTCCCGTGTGGGGCTATTGAGCGGGTGAATACTGAGGTAAATCCCCTGGCATACTATAGGATTGTAAATAGGCTATCTGTTCTCACTACCGTATTGGCCAGCTGGCTCAGTTGAACTTTAAGTGCTTGGCTGAGCCTAGGAATTGAAGGCCATTAGTGCTGGAGGCTCTGGGGACAATGTGCAGCTCTCTGTAAAACCATGGGGCCAGTCAGTGCATCTCTGAGATGTGATTTCCTCATCATGATAATTAATGCTTCTTTCCTACTTTACCAGATTGTTAGAGGAGAACATGAGATTGAGTAACCTGAAAAGTATTATACAAAAATTGTTATTATAAGAAGAATCACAATAACAGTGATTAACATTTTGAGTGCTTACTTTTTTGCCCGGCACTAGTTTAAGTGCATCCCATGTGTTACCCAATTTAATTTTAATGCTCTAACAATTTTGCCTGATTTATTATTCCTATTTTTTCAGTTGCCTCTGAGGTACTCAGAGGTTAAGTAGCTTGCCTAAGGTCACTCAGATAACTGGGGGCAGACCCAGAATTCAAACCCAATCAATAGAATTTCAGAACCTGCCCAATGGAGGATTATTCACTATGTTTATATTGGCATTGCTATCTCTATGTTTCTTTTCTACAGAGACTACAAAGTTAGCTATTCTCTAGGTAGGAGATGGGTCTGTGAAGCCATGATGACAGCACCATAAAGTCACCTGTTAATTAGTCTGTCTAGTCTGGTCGTAGCTCAAACACCTTAGGAACACATGTGCGTATATCTATCAGCAAACACATTCACAGATTGAGTATATATGTATATAGATTATAGGAACAATATCAGAGATAAAGATCAGAATATAAAGAAGCAAGGCATTAGCAAACTAATTTATGGGCTTGTGATTCTGTTATGAAGGATAATTATTCAGTGGTTTAAGTGGGATGAAAAGTGTCATTACAGTAACACAGTGAGTGATAGTCATACTTAATCTGTTTTCTACCACTCACATATGATAAATGTCATTCACATGTGTGACGTACTTCTGTGGGGCTGCCTGGACTTTGACATTTCTCCCCAATCTTTTTGTGGAAAATTAAGGTAAACAACGAGTCATTTATTTTGGACATTTATGAAAGCATTTTTATAGCAATTTGGGTACTTAAATTAACACCTTAGATATCTCCAAAAAAAGGTTATTTTTCAACAGAGTTCCATTAAATTCAACAAATCTACTATGCTCTGCCTGTGCTGTACCATACAGTAGCTACTAGTCACGTGTGGCCGTTCAAATTTAATTGAAAAATGCAGTTCCTCAGTAGCTTTAGTTACATATCATGTACTCAGTAGCTCACCTGTAGCTAGCAGCTACCATTTAGACAATGTAGATTATAGAACATTTCCATCATTACAAAGAGTTCTATTGGACAATGCTGCTAGACAGTAGGATACACTGAAGATGCAGTGATGACCAAAACATTCTAGGGGCGCCCGGGTGGCTCAGTCGGTTGAGTGGCAGACTTCGGCTCAGGTCATGATCTCGCTGTTTGTGAGTTTGAGCCCCGCATGGGGCTCTGTGCTGACATCATAGAGCCTGGAGCCTGCTTTGAATTCTGTGTCTCCCTCTCTCTCTGCTCCTCCCCCACCCATGCTCTGTCTCTCTCTCTCTCTCTCTCTCCTCTAAAAATAAATTTAAAAACATTAAAAAAAAAACATTCTAGATGCTTGCCCTTATGGGTTTATAGTCCTGCAGAGAGGACAGCTGCTTAATAAGCCATCCCCGGTTGGGGTTCAGGGAATTACAGGGGACAATGGGAGGGTATGGCAGGGGAGACCTACCCATGAATGGCTGGTCTGGGAAAACGAAGCCAAAGAAAGTCCTTATGTATAAGAGACCAATTAAAAAAATATATATATTGAACTTAATTTTTAAGTAACAAATTATTTTCTCTGCAACTGGATTCTGCAAGTAATATCAATGTGAGATTTAAAATGTAGTATTGAGGAATATGCTTACATAAAATTTATTTCATTTTTAAAATGTTTCATGTAATAAATCTCTAAGAAGCCAAACACAAAGTGTACGTACAGTATGATTCTATTTGTATGAAATTGTAGAACAGACAAAATTATGATGATAGAAATCAGAACTGCAGTTGCCTAGAATGGAGGCAAGGGTGCAGGTGGAAGCAAGCACTGACTACAAAGGATCCTCGGGGTATTTTCTGGGATGTTCATGATGCTCTCTCTCTTGGTAAGGGTATTGGTTACATGGATATATGCATTTGTCAATACTTATGGAAATGTATACCTTTAGATTGGTACATTTCCTAAAATGTAAATTATGTCTCAATTAGAAGTTGAATCTATAGAATTGTATATTGTAACATGTTAATGGTTGATATGAGTAACATTATGGAAATATTCATTGCCTCATTACTTCGTCTGCCAGTGACCCGGCTGGCCTTTGTAACGCTTATATCACTGGCAAGAAGATTCAGCATCCTTCTTGATCTTGTGCCCTGTGGATGTAAATATGTGCTCCTACTTTTCCAGTTTTTCATGCTTTTTTATCAAAAGTAGATAAACTGAAAGAATCTTTGCCAGAATGTTAAGAATGATGTTATTTGGGAGCAGAGAGATTTGAGGTGAATTTTGCTGCTTTTTCTTCTTCACTGTACTGTTTGAGTCTGTAACAAGGCACATGTATATTTCTGTATTTTGAAACACAAAATCTCATTCTGTCTTGGCTTAGAAAGTACATTTACTTATCCACGAGTTACTATATAATCATTTGAAAACTTTGGGTTTTAAGCGATGGTTAGTATCACATTTCCTTGTAAGCAGCAGACTCCGTGGATGATTGTTTAGCAGTCGGGGGGTCTCAGTAAATGTAAAATTTCATGCCTTGTCTGTCTCCACCATGCCTCTCTTGTTCAGTTTCTCTCTGGTGCTGGGGCACATTGGAGTGGATTGGGGTTGCCTGGAGATGCTCGTTAGCGGTCTGCCCCTCTCATCTGCCTCCTTCACCCTGTGCTCACAGATTCTTACTTGACCCTTGATGAACCGATGAATAACATCACCACGTCCCTGGGGCAGACAGCTGAACTGCACTGCAAAGTCTCTGGCAATCCACCTCCTACCATCCGCTGGTTCAAAAATGATGCACCTGTGGTCCAGGAGCCCCGGAGGATCTCATTTCGGGCAACCAACTATGGCTCTAGACTGCGGATTAGAAATCTTGACACCACAGATACAGGCTACTTCCAGTGCGTGGCAACAAATGGCAAGAAGGTGGTTTCTACCACGGGAGTCTTGTTCGTCAAGTTTGGTAAGCCACCTCCTTCCTGCTGGGGATGGCCTTTGGCCATCATTCTCCCTGAGGGTGAGGAGGGAGGGAACAGGGAACACACTGAGAATGTCCTATGTGCCTGGCAACCCGAAAGCTGGTACAGATGCATCCATTTTACAAGTAAGTAGGCCAAGACCCAGTAGTTAAGTAGCATGTGCGTGGTTGCCCAGCTGGTAAATAGTAGAGCAGGAGGGGAGTCCCGATCTGTCTGATCCCAGAGCCCTGCTCTAAACCACCATGCCAGTGGGAGAGAAGATGGGAAGTTCGACACATGTATGCCCTTTCTCTGTCAAGATGCCATCAAAGACTCCTGCTGTCCCAATCCATGTGATCCTATAACCACTCAGCCTCCCCCTGCAGACTCCCCATGCAGCATGAGGATGCCTACTCTAGTGACTCATTTGTTAGCTCTTGTCTTAGCATTTTCCAGGCCCTGAACTGTGTGGGTATAGACAGGTTCTTACTGGTATGTTTTTTTTTCTTCGAGGTGGTTGTGGGGAACTGAAGCAAAATAATAAATCCCAGAAAAATAAATATCACCTCAGGGTGGTTGAGAACTTCAATCTGGAATGGTTTGACTCTACCCACACTCACCCTCCAATAACCTAGACTGACTGTTTTTTTTTTTTTTCTTTCCTTTCCTTTCTCCAGGCCCCCCTCCCACTGCAAGTCCAGGATCCTCGTAAGTACATTTATCTCCCTTCTTGTCACTTCGAAGTGTTTCTCCAAAGGTTTTTTAGGGCAAAGGCAAAGTTGTCCTCTTCTTGGGCCAAAACACTGTTCCAGATTTCATTCCATTTTGCCCTACCCTCATTCCATTTTGCTTTTTCTCTGATATGAAGATTCACAAGAGACCAGCACCGGCAGTAACCTCAAGTGTGGTCATGTTGGTTGTGAACATGTTGATAAAAGCAAATATCTGCTTACATTTTCTATTTTAAAATTAATCTAACATTTAGTTGCCACAGTGGATTTGGTCAAATCAAACAAAAAACAATACTGTGCTGGCTTAGGTTTTTAGCCTGAAAGGCTCTCTTCTGTGTATCTGATAGTGTTGCATTCCTGATGCTCTAGTTATCCAACAGGCCAACAGTTGGGTGATCACCTTATTTTTATTGCCTTAAAAGAACCCAGAGACAGAAGTTCTGACTCACATAGGGGAAGAAAGCCCTGTGCCAGGTTTGAGAGTTACACACAATTTCGATTCATTTTGAGTCCTTTGTTACTGGAATCTAAAGATCTCATTTCTTAAACTGATGCTATTCTTGATGCGCTCGATCTTTCCCCTGGCTATGGTGTTCTATTCTTTCACTGTAGGAGCACCCACTTGGAGTATTTTTCTTTATATTTTTATTTAGGTGGAGAGAGCCATTTATTAAAAACCCTTGCTCTGCAAGAAAATATCTTCTTCCGAAGATACGCTTCCGAAGTAAAATTTATTGGGGCTCTACCACGAGAGCATCAGAATGTCTGACCTAGACTACACCCACAGCAAATATAACAGCCACTTAATTTGCTCTAATCCCCTCTGTGCCACTTAATTACAGTGTGGGATATTTTAATATATTTGTGTGTGCCTGGAGGCCCAGTGGCCCACAATCCCATTAATAAAACAGGTAATGGGTAAAAATAAACATTGGCCCTCAGCCACACTGTTCTGTTATTTCATCAGCCAATTAAAGGCAACTGTAAAAGAGCCTTTAAAATCACCCAAGTGCTAATTGCATTCTACTCGTCTAGGTAGAAAATATTGATTGATCTTAAAACAGGTCTGCAGTTTTGGTTGCTCTGCTTTGCATTCTTGAAGTTTATCTTTTTTTTTTTTTTTTTTAAATCTCACTATTGGTTGATATGTGGAATCCTTTTGAAGTCTTATTTAAACTGAGATTAAAACTTTTGTTACTTGCTGTAAAAATGCTTCCCACCCTGGTGCCTTATTTGTTCCTATTAATCTGTGCTTCAAATGTGGCAGATAATCTGCGTCCAAGTTTGATGAATGCAGTTCACTAATCTGCCTTTATTATGAAGCACTGAGCAACTGACGTCCTACCTGTTGTATTTGCATCAGAGAATTACTTTTTTATTATCAAAATTATTTTTAAACATGTATATGTCCTTACTTCTTGAAGTTTTCATTCTTCCTTTGTTACCATCTTTCTGATGAGCCCAGTCTGAGTCTCTCATGGTTTTCAATTTTATACAAAGATAGTGTACCGCTTTCATGAGCTGATATCTATGGAGAAGATATTAATGTCCTTAACGATGCTCAGCCACAGCTAAAAGTATCCTTTGATGTCAGGCCCCCCTGTTTCATGTTAGCTGTCTGATTATCCATCAGATTAGTAGCAGGAGCATGAAATGTACAGTTGCCATGTTAGCTTGGAGGGAGCTACAGTAAAATACAATCGAAGTTGGAAATCCCATGGGGACTTTTGTAGGACAGTCTACATACTTGTTTTGGCATTGCCAGTTGGCATTTTGATGGACTTTTTTCTCTTTCTGTTAGAAACTGGTGACATATCCTACTTTTTTTCTCTTTTCACTGCTGCCACCACTGAACCCTATTTCTTTCAACGTTTATTTATTTTTGGGACAGAGAGAGACAGAGCATGAACGGGGGAGGGGCAGAGAGAGAGGGAGACACAGAATTGGAAACAGGCTCCAGGCTCTGAGCCATCAGCCCAGAGCCTGACGCGGGGCTCGAACTCCCGGACCGCGAGATCGTGACCTGGCTGAAGTCGGACGCTTAACCAACTGCGCCACCCAGGCGCCCCTGAACCCTATTTCTAAGAGTTCTTCTGTAACCGAGATAGAATGCTAGCTTCCTTCCCTATCCTTATAGCCCCCAACAAGCAGGCAGATCTCACTACAAGAGGTCAGGTAGAATGTAACAAAATGATAGCCATGGTGACTATCACAGCTTTGAGGGTTGCTCTGAAAGTCTTTTGTCAAACTGCACAATACTTTTTCCAAGGTAGGAGTGAAATGTAGCTGAAACATTGCTCTGTTTACTTGAAGATGGTGCAACAGAATGACTGCAAAGTACAATGCAAGTCCACGACATAGCGAAATGTTTTGGGTGAATGAATCCTGGTGAGAGCCAAGTGCCATTTGAGACCACAAAGCTACACAATCTCCAATGGAGGACTTGGAGGGTCCTTGAGATAATGGTCTAGGAAGGCAAAGGTGGTGAGACACTTGTCACTCCTTGTAGAGACTACATCAGGTTTCCACATGAAGCTTATGGAATGGCATTTTACTATGTAGTAGGAGCAAGCCTGAGACGTTAGTTTGGCTTCTGTTCTTAGCTTCAGGCTTTATTTCTTCTGTCATTGCTGGGTCCTGGCCCACCCCTAACAGTTATAGGGCCCAGGGCATGAGTACAAGTGGAGGCCCACATACCACACGTCTAAATATTTAGAAGTTATAAATCAAGCTAGCAAACTGTTAAATGAAATATGTTCTGTCCTCCCACATTGACAAATATACCTTCATAATGACAAAATCAAAAAATACTTATAAAGTTATGGTTTGTGTATGACTACAAGCCAAGAACTATCAAAAATGACTACTTTAATCATTATTATGCTTGTCTGGGTGTTTTGTTCATGGCCAGAGATATTATATATGATTCATAGATTGTTATATATTAGTTCCATTATTTTTTTATTGCCTTCATTTCAGCAAAATGACTGCTTTTGTCGTTTTACACAGACTTTTACACGAGATTTTAGCATGCATTCTTTTGACAACAATGCCAAGTTAGACAAAAACTTTCTTCAGTTATTGTAATATTTAGTTTTTTAAAACTAATTTTAATTTGAAGAAATTGTACTCCCTGAGCCAGTAGCAGCTGTAATTATTAATTAAATTCCTAAAGCAATAGTTCAATTTGCTAAGAATTATAGCAAATGAACTAAGAACTTTATATAGCATATTCAAACATAGTAATGGGACCATATGATAAAGAATCACATGATATTGCACAATATATAATGAAACATTATAATAATATAATGTAATCATTAACCTATTATATATATTGTATAGGTTGTTATAGTATATATTATCATATATATTACATATGGTGTCATATGATAAGTAATCACATGATATTACAAATATTATATCATATTATTATACAATATGTAATTTCATCTGTAAGTCAGCATCATGCTTCATGTTATCCTATATATGCACAAATCTAAGAACAATATAAATTGTTTAATGTGTTAGTTTTCTACAGCTGCTGTAACAAAGAATACTGAATTGGCTTAAACGACAGAAATTTATTGTCTTACAGTTCTAGAGCTTAGAAGTTCTAAATCAAGATGTTGGCAAGGTTAATTTGTTCTGAAGGCTGTGAAGAAAGATTTCTGTCTTCTTCTGGTGACCTACCATAATTCTTTGGCTTGTCAATGCATCATCTCAATTTCTGCCATGATATTTACATGGCATTCTCCCTCTGTGCACATGTCTCCAAATCCCCCCCACCTTTTTTTAAAGATTTTATTTTTAAGTAATCTCTATACCCAACGTGGAGCTCGAACTCACAATCCTAAGGTCAAGAGTTACATGCCCTACTGACTGACCCAGCCAGGTGTCCCCAAGTTTCCCCTTTTTGTAATGACACCATTTATGACCCACTCCAATGACCTCATTTTAACTTAATTACCCCTGTAAAGACCCTATTTCCAAATAAGGTCACATTTTAAGGTCCTGGGGATTAGGACTTCAACATATGAATTTTGAGGGAACACAGTTCAACTCGTAACACTTAATATTGTGAAATTATTCCCAGCCATGAGACTATAATCTTGCAAATATTATCCTAATTTGTAAGAACTTTCAGAATATAAAGAAAAATAAGAAAATGGATGCTTGGTAATATTGAGAATGATAGTTTCTTGTGCAAGAATCCACTGAGGAAGAATTTGACATGTTGATTAATCTTTTCTCTTCCTGAAGTATTTTTGCCACTGCAGTCCTTCCTGTGCTCCAAGCAGGGCCCATCTCCTCCATTGGTAGTCACTCAACACACAGACTTTCACAGTATACAATCACGGTTGCCTTCTGTTCTAAGAACCTAGGGCAAGGGATGTAGAGAAATGATCCCTGGGGCAGAACAGTGTTAGTCACAGGGGTGGATGTTTAAGGTTTGGTTACATTATGGCAGCCCTGAGTGCCAGATCCCAAGAGGCAGAGGACCCCATATGTATATTAAACTTATTTTTCAGTAGGTCCAGGGAAGGGGCCCTTCTTTAAAAAAAAAACAAAAACAAAACAGTTTTACTGAAATATAGTTCACATACCATCAAATTGGCCATTTTAAAGTATAAAACTTAGTGTTTTTAGTATATTCACAGAGTTTGTATAACCTTCACCACTATCTTATTTCAGAACATTCTCATTATCTCATAAAGAAACTCTTCTCATCCCCTGATAATCTCCAATCTACTTTATGTCTCTATGAGTTTGCCTATTCTAGATATTTCATGTAAGTAGAGTCATATACTGTTTGTCCTTTTGTGTCTGGCTTCCCTCACTTAGCATGTTTTCAGGATTTATTCATGTTACAGCATACATCAGTACTTCATCCTTTCTATGCCAACTTGACACATAAATCTGACCATCACATTCCGCAACATTATCCTTGACCTCCTTTTTCAAGATTTTTTGGGG